TCTTCTGCCTTTCTTCTCCTTCTCATACTGTCAACAGGACAACAACTTTCCCACTACACATGACTGTTCTGTTGGAAAAGATGGTCTCAGGAGGTAGGTTATAGTGTATCTATCTTTCCCCTTAAAGAGTCCTAAAGTTATTTCCAAGGAGCAATGTGTCCCAGATGTTAACTGCACTAATACTATACACTGAAAAGGGGTCAAGTTAATTTAGAAAAAGCTAAACAAAATTGAGCAGGTTTCTTCCTTGGAGGATATGAATTTTTCAGAATCTTAAAAGTATTCATGTATAATGTAAATTTCCAAAATAGAAACAGATTATACCCTGCAATGAAAAGTTCTTAATTAACCCAAACTTAATGTTTCAAAGACTTTCTACTAGAATTCGGACTCAAAGACATTTATTTCATTCCATGCTATACTGCAGCAAGGGTCTTAAAACCAATCAGTAATAGGAAAAAAAGGACAAATGTTCCTAAGCTCATCCTTCCAACTTTTGCATTCATCATATTCTTCCTCCTGAGCTATCTCAAAAGTTTAGGCAGTCTGGCTTACTAAAAACATTTTTTATTTCAGATATCACAGACATTTTTTAAAAGATGACTTCTTAATTGAATTAAATTATAATTAAAAGGGTCAGTGTGTGCAGGACATTGGGAATAAGTCATTTTATGGTAGATGGTAAAAAAAGACAAAAATTGAGTTACTAAAAATAACATAAAAGTGGGACCAAAGCACATATTTTTCTCTCCATTCATATATCCCTTTTTTATAACACTGCCTCCAAAATAAGAATTGGAGAAAAAAATGGGATCACTGAAGCAGAAGGCAAAACATTCTATAAAGTTTGAGTGTCAAAACTGTATTTACATTTCGAGAGAAAACTATAATTAAAGGTAACAGACTCATACTGTAAGGAAACAAGGTCAGTAGGATCACTTTTTGATAAGCAACATAAATTTATAACCTTTAAAGCCAAAAATTATTCCTCTAATGAAAATTCTCTTTTTCCATCATTCTCCTATTATCCTGGTGGGAAACTCCTCACTTTACCACTACTTCTATACATGCTTCTGATCCTTTGTAGTTATTTACTTTTTTTTTTTAAATTATAAAGAGTATCTATCTCCAGGCTAGCTTTCAACTCACTCAAACTCAAACTCAAAGTCAAACTCTAAGGATTCCTGCCTCAGAGTCTGTGCTAGGATTATAGGCATGTGTACCATTCCAGTTACTTCCCTTCCTTTTTAAAACTATCTTCTAATGCTTATTCTTTTTTCATATAAGTGCCAGTTCCCAACCTTGAATCCTTTCTAACAGAGTATCTTTATACATATCCAAAGTCAAGGTGCATAAGTTGAACTAGTCAGAGCCCTAACATCAAAGAAACTCCTAAAATTTATAAAAGGGCTGTCTGGGATGTCTCAATTATACCCTCCTTGATAAAGAAACAATGCTACTGTCAAACCCAATCCTACAACAATCCTAAATTCTTTGAAACTAAAAATAGCTCACTTGTCTCATCTGCCAGCAGATGGTCAGACTATTTTTAATTCAGGATTCTCCAGAGCAGGAGTGGATCAGACTAAGCTAGGGCAGCCTAGACAGCCTTTACTCTGCACAGCTCAAAGTTCACAGCAGAAAACTGTGAGAAGACAGGTATCAAGCGAGGGCAACAGAGAGTTAGTTGTTCCTAAGCCTGAGGGCTTCACATCAACTTGAACAATGAAAGGGGTGGTTTTTTTTTTAAGCCATTCAAAATAAAATCTGAAAAGTATGAAAATTTGAAGTAAGCTTTAAATAATTCTGCATACTTTTTAAAGATTTATTTTCTTTTTGTGAAATAAGTTTAGTATCTTTAAAAATGGTTTTTGTTGGGGCCGGTGATATAGTTCAGCGCTATAAGTACCTGTCTGGCAAGTATAAGGTCCCGAATTCAATTCTGCAACTAGCCCGCCAATTTAAAACATAATTAATTAATTTTTTAAAATGGATTTTGTTTTTAAGAAAAACCTCTAGATACTTTCTAAAAGCCTTAGGTCAAAAAATGTTCTTATGCATATATGCTAAGCTATAATTTCATAAATATTTACAGAAAACTAGTATTTGGCCATTTTTGTTAGAAGGTGGCTGAGTTGATTTTGAATACCAGTAATCATATGGCAATAAGGTGATTTTCAAACACAAAAAAGGGCAAAGTCTGGTATACAATATGTTTTTTTGCCATCCCTCTTTCTTCATCTCCATGTTGGCATTAAATAAATACCTGAGGGGAAGAGAATACAGGCAGGCATATTTAGAAGGGTTATAAGGAAACCAGGCATGGTGGCACATACCTATAATATCTAGTATTGAGTAGGTAAAGGAGGATTACAAGTTTGAGGCTAGTCTGAACAATTTAGATTCTGTCTCAAAACAGAAATTAAAAGCAAACAAAAAAATTTGTAAAAGACCCTGGGTTCAATTTCCAATACCACCACATAAAAATGTAAAAAATAAAAATAAAGAAGAAAATTATAGTAATGGTCACAAAATGACTTCTGTGCCTCCACCATCCAATCTCCACATACTAATTAATCTATAGACCCAGGACGACCACACCAGTTCATTGCTGTTTGCTTTTCTATCACACATTATGAAGAAATCAAAGGGGCCTGGCATAGGTCTCAACAGAAAAGAAAAGGTTCTACAAGTTTCTGGGGACAACACATATTTTGGGGATTTTAATTTACTGCAAGATATTAAACTTTCTACAAAGATGAAATGTGTTATCCTCCTGATCTCTGTTTGAATGATGATGTAGATGGATGACTGGAAAGGAAAGAGTTCATCAGGGATTTGCTACCACGAGATTACACACTGAGAATTTACTTTATAGAAAGTTAGATGCAATTTTTATGAAATATGGAGAAAACACCTTCCACATTTTAATTATAAAAAGTACCCTAGTGCCTAGTCCATCAAAATAAGTTTCTGCTAACTGTATGGAGGGGACTAAAAAAGTAGGATAGAACAGCTGGCACACACAGCACCATGTAATTTCTACATCTAGAAATGACAGGCACCCATTTAAAGAGCTATAGGCCCTCCAAAAATGCCAATCAAGAGTGGCAGGAATACTAAATGTACAAGTTAACAGAAAAGTATATTCATATTCACAGCACATTAGAGTGAGACTCTAGTTTTACTGAAAAGGAACTTAAAGCCCACAGAGTTGCCTACTACTGCTATGTAACAGAACTGGGACCCCAGACTTTCATTCCCATGAGCTGTCCACTAAGACATGTTTATGTATGTTAGTATTTTGGAGAAGAGAACAATATAGAAACATAAGACAGATGCACAACATACTTTCTTTAGCTAGTTAAAAAATAACATATTAAAATGTATTTTAACATGGAAAACTCAGGTCTCAAAACTAAAACTTTGTTTCGAGTCTTATGTTCTTTATCCTGCCAAATTATTTGTAGATCAATATATAACAATTCTTTTAAAAATCCTAGTATCACTCCCTCCTTCATGTTACTACAAAAAGAATTCATTTCAAGACCCAGGTATAAATTTAATTTTTCACACTACAAAACTGTTTTCTCACATATCTGGAACAGTCATTTGTTAGGTACGCAAGTAACAAAATGGGAACTTCTGATCAATGAGGGAAGCAAAACAAAACAAAACCAAAAAAACCCTAAAGGCACTATATTACAAATTCAAACATTTTTAAGTAGAACTTTCTTCAGTGTTTTTCATGTCAATTTTAAGGATCTAGAAAAAACTCTATAGCATATTATAACAAGTTAAATGGTAATATTCTATCTAATAATTAAAAAGCAAAGTTGCTTTTAATCTGCATTGAGCCCTTATTTAAGCAAACGTTTAAGTTATTATGGGTTTTCTTTACATCGTTAAGAACTTTTTTCTTCAAAGCCCATTTAACAAGCTTCATTTCTTTCCATTTGACTTAATCTATTTCCAGTAGTATAAAATAAAATGTAAACATTAGGAATATTAAATGTCCTGGATACTCCTCCAATTGATGCAAAGCAGCTATCAGTGTTCACCCTTTAACAATACCTTATCTGCCTACTCTGGCCATAGGTGTCATTGGGATTCCCCCTGCTTTGGGCTTCATTACCCTAGATCTCTTCCTCTGAACTGTAAATCACAATTGAAGCCTGAATGCAGCTGCTACTGTCCAGACATGTGGTTAGTGTCAGTGTCTTTCATTTTCCTTTCAAACCCTCCTTTTCCAAATTATCTAAAACCAATTTATCTAAAGGTTTTTTTTCCTTCCCCATTTTCACACCACCACCTCCACCTCTTAACCTCTCTCTGCTCTTGTTCTTCCAGGTCAGTCCAGTAGGCTGTACGTTACTGTTTTTCCTGTAGCAGAGGCGGAAGGATGTCAGAACCGACTGCACCTCGCCGCAAAACCCTTCTTGAGACAGTCAACAAGGGAACTCCTGCCTCTCTTCCCAAAGTATCACACCAACCGATAAAGTTACTGTAATTACAATTTGGAACCTTTCCCACGCCCAATCTTAACACATCGGCCCCACCTCAATTTTCAAGCTAATAAACAACAGCTCATCTTCTGCTTCATCACAAAGGGTAGTATCCAGTCTGCACTGCATACATAGTCCACCAATAAAATCCTCTGTCTCCAGCTGAACCACAGAACCCAAGTGCCCCGCGATCCTAAGCCCAGCCGCGTCCCTGCAGCCCAGCTGACTGCCCTTCGTCCTCCTCCCCTATAGTGCCACATATCCAGCCGAGTTTCTGTCAACTCCAGTTAGGCAGCAGACAGCTCCGCGGGGCCCGGGAAGTCGGCAGCGTAAGCCTAGGACAAACCCCCGGCGACGCCACCTCCAGCAGGCACCCCCACCCCGCCTCCTCCTTGCTCACCTAAGGCCACCTCGCAAGCTTTGCGCAGCTGGGAGTGATGCGCCTTCTTTACTTCCTTGTCGGCCAAAATCTTCTCCAGGGCCCGGGTCAAAAACATGTTCTTCGTCTTTTTCCCTTCATACATGGACGCAGAGAAGGAGGCGGCGGCTCGTCGGACCCGCGGCTCCCAGCGGCTGGAGGAGGGGAGGAGGAGGAAGAGAACAGAGAAAGGACGGGAGGTGGAGGAGGTGGGGGAGAGGAGGCGTGGAGGGCAGCGGCACAACCAGGAAGGGGAGGGCGAGCGGGGCCAGCCGCGGAGCCGGCCAGGGGCGTCGAGGTCTGCCCTCGCCCCGAAGGCCGCCCTCGAGAGCCGCGCCTGTCAGGCCTCCGCTTCTCTCAGCCTGGGGGTCGCTTCCAGGTCGCCCCTCGCACTTGTCCCTCTGGTCTGGCGGCGGCGAGGGAGCCGGGACGGGCGGCTGTATCCTGGGGCTGAGTCGGCGGTGGGGACGACTCAGAGGCCCAGTGAGAGCAGGGCTGCTTTGGCTGCTGTGGGGATGAGCACCCGCCACGGCCGCGGACTGGCTTCCATCACCGCCGGCCTGCCCCGGCCGCCATGTTGGGAGGAAACGACGCGTCACGCAGCGGCCGAACGGCTGCAGAAAAGGAAGCGGCGGCGGCGGCGGCGCTGCTTGCCCAGAGCTGCCGAGACGTCGGAGGCAGGGGGCGGAGGGCGACGCGCGTGGAGAGGCCCGAGCCGCAGCGCTACGGCGGCCCGGCGGGGTCTCGCCGCCTCCTGCGTTCGTCTGCAGGGCGGCGTGGGGCGTGGCGGGCGCCCTGCGGCTCCGAAACTAGCCCGAGGTGCTGCTCCCGGCGGTGCAGCGACAGAACCAGAGACCGTGGGTCCTGCCTCTGCTCCGGCCGGATAGGTAAGACTTCCTGGCTGCTCTGCACCTGCTTTTTGGAGATCCGCCTATGGGAGCACAGTCTTTCAGTTCCAAGGGTCACCAAAACACCCTGGCTCAATCTCAACTACGCCGGGTTTCCACCTGCCGCGCCGGATTTAAAACTCCGTTCCCAGGCACACGAAATTGCTGTTGGGACCGAGCCTTCCGATTGCCCCAGCGAGGATTCTCTGTTGGGAAAAGTAAGCAAAAAATCAGTTGAGAAGGATTCAGAAATATTTCATCTCTCTGTAGAATAAGTACATAAACTCTATTTCTGTACGCTTCTAAATTTGACTCATTTGTAGGGAAATGGATGCGCCTGGAGATCATGGAAGTGAAATTAATCAGATAGCTTAAATGTCGCGTGGTTTCGTTTATATGAGAAACTCAAAGTATAAACAGAGCAAAATAAAAATAGGTAATAGGAAACAGATTTTTTTCGCAAATTTGTAGGGGACTAAGGGAGGGAGGAAAGAAGGAGGAAAGGGAACATAAAAATTAAGATGTGTTGCGAACATGTATGTACGTGTACAACTCTCTGTGATGAATATACTGCAAACATACTAATAAAAATAATGTTTAAAAAATTTTTAAAATAGGCTTTGCAGGACAAAAAAGGTGTGTGTTTCTGACCAAGATCCCTTGAAGAACTGTGTTTCTCAATAAGAGGAAATCAGTTTCAGGTGACAAAACTAAGTACAAACAGATTAACACATGTGATTATATGTCTGCTTTAGTATCAATAATTAAAATGTCTGCAATATTTTTTTCTGAGCTAAACAATGATACTATAAAGTACATGCAGACAATTAACAGGTCTTCCTGGATGTCGATCCAGGATGTTTCAAATTCCAATCTACTGTAGTGATCCATTTAATTGTTAGACTGTCTTTCACTATTCTTTTTCCATTAAATTGCATTAGCAGTGCACTTGACCTAATGCAGCCATCCAAACTTATGGGTGTGAAAGCTATGATATGTCAAGATTTTGGAAAAAGCAAAAAGGCATAGGAAATAAAATGGAAAATTTGAAGATGACCTGCAATTAATATGGACACATAGGTTAATTTTTAAAACTTGATTGTCCTGAGGAGCAAATCTATAAATTCACTAATCTTGTTTTAAAGACTATCTTTAGATTCTTGGAAGTTAAAGATTCATTATATTACTGTATCAAACATGATCCTAATTTCTGTGTACAGTAAGACTATATGCTTTTTGAGACTAAACTCCTTACTGTCTGATCAGCAAGTCCATTTATGCTGCTGCTGCTTCAGTATAAAGTTAAATGAACATTCCCCAGTCTCCCCTGCAGTTGAATGTAGCCTTTAGGTTTAGTCCATTAAAACCAACAAACTTGGCAAAAACTTTCCATAATTATTTCCCTTTTTTATTCTGTAGCTAAACATAACTGAAACACAACTTAGAAGTCTAGGTCTCTGAATTTCGTAGAGCAGAACCACCCACCCATTAGGTATACCTGTGTTGGACTTTACATGAACATGGTAAACTGGTCAGCCTTATTCTAAATGGTATACTTGGTGTTCCTTAATAAATAGTACAGAGATCTTTGAGGATCTCACAGTCTGCCTTGGTGCACAGCAAAATTTATAGTCATCTTGGCTGCTTGCTGGTTTATTAATTTGTTGTTCCTTTCATAAAAGCAGAGGCTTGATTTGACTGTTCACTCCTCTATACCAAGCATCTGCTATATTGTTGGCATCGGAAAGGCCTTTGATATGAAATTGTTAAATGAAAACATGGACTAATGAAAGATATTGGGCTAAATGAGGCACAATACGTGCTCTTTTGGAGCTTATGTGATAGGAAAGAAATACAGTATTAAACAAAGCCCTAGTGAGTATATAATTATAGATTATTTGTAAAGTATAGTTACAGAGTGCTATGAAGCAGTCTACTTTAGATTATCGATTTAGGGATGTCATCCCAAGAAGTGAGCGTTAAATTGAGACCTAAAGAGGCAAAATTAACTAAGTCAGTATATGGAGTTAGGGAGAAGTTTGGCAGATTTCAGGAAACAAAAACAGTACGGCTAAAAATCAGGGTAAGGGGGAAATGCTGCCAGTAAGAATGAAGAGTGAGCCAGAAGATCATACAGAATCTTGTTGGCACTGTTACAGATTTAAGATTTCATCCCAATGGCAGTGGAAATCCATTGAAAGTTTTTAAATAAGGGATTAAGTGATCAAATTGGTGATTTATAAAAAACACCCCAGCAGACAAGGGGATTTAAAGTTTGAGTTTAGGCCGGGCAACATAGCAATTTAGTAAGTCCCTATATGAAGAGCAAACAAGTCAACAACACACAAATAAGCAAGGCTGCAGACGAAGCTCAGCTCAAAAGCCCTGGTTTCTACTCCTAGTAATACACACACACACACACACACACACACACACACACACACACGTACAATACAGAAAATGGAGTAAGAGAGGATGTGAGAATAGTGAGGAGCTGATTAAAATAGAAAGATTTGGTCAGGATCTAAGGCCTCAACATGTGCATGACTTCAGTAAACCAGTGGGTAATGGAGATGGAACAAAGTGGCCAGATATGAGATGCTTTTGTGGAAGAATGGTTAGAACTTTTGCACTGGCATGAAGGTGAGACAAAGAGGTCACAAATGAATCCTAGGTTTCTAATGAGAACCAGTAGGTAGAAATGCCTTTTGTAGTGATAGGTTAGTTTGGAATAGGAGCAGATTTGAGGGTAAAGGCTACACTTTTCAACTTTAGAATAATTGGCTCCTTTGAGATATGACTGACCTTTTTAGAAGGAATGGTTTTCATTCTTTTGTAAGAACACATTTTTTCTCCCTCCCTTGTTAGGATCTCTGAAATGTAGGAGTGATAGTAGGTAATCTTGAGAAGTAGGTACTCCCACCCACATGAAACTCAAGATGTTAACTCTGACCTAAAACTAAAGTAAGATTAGATTCTAGATTAAAGCTAACACGCTTGAAAGATAAAGGGAGAGAGAATATTTTCAGTCTTTTATTGACAAGTATACAGAAGGTGCAATGCTCAGGCAATTTTTACATTAAATCACTAACATTTCCCTGTGTATATGTTTCCTTTTATGCTTTATTAGTATTGTTGAATGCTTACACAATTATTCAGGTAAATCCAATCTCAATATTCATTTGGATTAAACTTGCAGTTTTCAAAATAATGCAAATCCTATTTCTGAACTTCTGAAATGCCTGTCATCCTCTAAGTTTTAAAAACAGATTTTTCTTATACATAATTACTTCCCTCAGTCCATTTTGCCCGTCAGTCTGAAGTCTCACCTTATCACCCAATAACCCTGCATTACTTTCTCTTTCATCTATAACTTTGTTATGTATTGACTGCTTTGACTTTTCTTTTTGGGTAATTTTTCCCACTTTGGTTCCAGAAGAATCAAATAGTATCACACAAAAAAAATGTTGATTTGAGGTCTAGTGTCTGTTGGTATGCTTTATTGTCATCCTCCTAAATATTTGAATAAATTCAGTGTAAAATGAAAATTAAAATCTAAATTTAAAAAAATTGTGTACTGTTTTTGAACTGAAGCTGTTCACACTGAGCTACATTCTCAGCCCTTTATGTTTTGAAACACGGTCTCACTGAGTTGCTAAGTTCCTGTACATTCAAGAAAACAACAACAAAAACACAACTCTGATGATTCCAATAGAATCTCATATAAATTCTTATTTCTTAGAGCTTTGAAAACATTCCTCAGTCTGACTCCTGAATTATTCTGGGGAGGAAAATAATATTCTTTTTGTCTCTACTCATCTTACGTTTGTTGGATAGGGCCTGCAAATTAGATTAACAAACACAGACTTGTTCATTTGTTTATTGCATGTACACAGGAGCACACTAGTTTATAACTCAAGGCATAGTTAGAACTTGGACTTATTTAACATCTTAATAAAGAACAGTAAATCTTATTGGTCTGCCTTTGATTGCCAGGACAAATTACGTGACAACCACAACTTGTTTATTTTCGACACATGATTTACAAGGTTTCAGACCCTAACTGGCTCCAAAGCAGAAAGATGAAAGGACATGGCATAGAAAAGGTGCTCAACTCATGGCACCCTGGATGCAGTGCATTGAAAAAGAGCCAGAGAAGGGATCAGCTGCTATGGAATAGGTAAAGCTCCAAAGGTAATGTCCTCCCTGCTTCCTCCATCTAGGCTCTACATCCTCACAGCCCATAGAGCTATGAACTCCTCCATGGGTTAACCCATTGTTGAGGTTTGGTGTTCTTACAATTAAGTTACCCTCTCCAGGAATCCCGTAGTCCAGCCACACTGACAAGAGCAACAGGCACAAAACCTTCAGAGAAGTGACAAGATAGGAAAAGAGAGTTCGTAGTATAGTCAGTTTGGGAAATTAAATATAGAGAAAAACGGTGGAAGATAGAACCTAGTAGTCAAATTTTTCCATGTAGATTGCTATCTTACTTTTCTCTTTACTAAGACAAAATACCTGACACCTGGAGTAAAAGGAGGAAAGATTTACTATACTTCACAGTTTGTAGAGGTTTCAGTTCAGAGTTGACTGGTTCCAAGGCAGGGCAGCACGGCAGGGGGGTGTACAGCATAAATGGTTCATGGTGGGTAGAAGGCAGAAAGACAGCAAAGTAGCAAGCAACCACAGCAGCTCCCTTCGTGCTCCTTATTTTCTAGTCAGGCTACCTACCCTTAGGGTGAGTTTAACTAAAAATCCAGTTTCTATAAGAGCACAGTTTTACTTTTTAAAAATTATCATTTGAAATTTTCTTTTGAAAAACCTGGTTTCATTACAAAATTTAATACCCACTTAATCATTAATATTTAAAACAGAGCAATTTACTTGTTGTTTACAGTCCTTTTCAAAGAAAAATGTGAGCCTGTGACTATGCTGCAGCACTGATGAAAAGGTACTTTCAAATGAATATACACAAATTGCAACTAAGGAAAGAAATAAGAAAACAATGGTTAAGAGCATGTGAAAACTTTAGCATGTGATAAAAGTAGATTTATATTTACTTCCACTATATTGTAACCTTGGAAAATTGACTTCTCTAATTTTTTTCTCAGTGAAAAGTTAGTAATAATATGTCATCAAATTGTATAGGATTAATCATCTTAAGAACTTTATGCAACATATATTGCTAATAAGAACTATATTAGTACTATGGATTGAAAGTAAGTACTTTCTACCTGCATAGAGAATATGTACCTTAAAGTTTTTAAGAAAATTTAAGAGTATACTATAAAACATTAGCATTGGATGGTTTAAAATTCAGAGAATATTATTATATGCTCTAGAACAACACAAATTTGCTTTTTTCTTATCTGTTTTCCAAAGTCTACCACACTTTCCCTCTGTCTGCCCTATGCAATGCATTTTTTCTACAAGACAATGAGCAGAATCTCTGAATTTAAAGAAATATTTCATTCATTCATTTACCTAATAAACAAGATGAATACAAGCACACCAGGAAAAGGGGAACTTATAAGCCCCTTCACATGAAAAGCCAGAAAGCAGACTTGATTTACCTTGCAGATGGCCCTTTTTATGCTAGTTATGCCATTATTGTGATCTTGGCAAAACTATGCTTCTCTTTTTAGTCAGTGTTTCTCATTTTTTACTAAGTAGTGGACTTCTTTTCATATGCCTTATCTGAGTGTGAAGTATACAACAATGTGAGAAAACAGAGAAAGAAAGGAATAGGTACCGGAGGTAGAAGAAAGAAAAAAGCTTTAAAGAAGGGATAGAATATAAAGAAACTTTTTTGTTTTTTGTTTTTAGAGAGGATCTCATGAAGCTGATCACGCTGGCCTCAAACCTGTGATTCTCCTGCCTCCTGCCTTAACCTTCCAAAGAGGTTTTAAAGGATGAAAAATCTGGAAAGAGAGAAAAAGGAGTTAATTATGAGTATTTAGGGTTGCTGAAAGATGAACAAATGCATGCAGGTGTGGATAAACTTGGTGTTTATATGGGGTAAATGGTATGGAAATATAAGGGAGATTTGAAAAGGTGAATGGGCTGGAATGTGGGCTACATTTGGGGTGGAGAGAATGGGCAGGAAAGGAGGTCACAATAAAAGATGGACTGAATTGTTACAGAGGTAATATAGCATAGTTGTTTAGAACATGGGCTCTGGAGCCAGATTTCCCAAATTATAATCCTGGTTACACTACTTATTAATTGTGCAAGTTGAGAAAATTATTTCAATTATTTATGTTTCAGTTTCTCCATCTATAAATCAGAGATAGTGATATATTCTTCATTTCGTTGTCATACCTGGTTCATAATAAGCTTTAGATAAATGTTAACTATTATCGTTACTATGGGAAATTAGTTGAAAAATGAAGAGTGGCTGTATATACCACTCTTAAAACATGCCACTTTAATGTACTGGTTATTTTGAACTAAATGCAGTTAAAAAGCAGATACAAGAAAATCTCCCAACCCTTCTCTTAGTTGCCTAAAATCAGGACATACATTTTCAAAAGTCATCTATCCTCAGGACATGAAAATTAGTGGAGACAATTCTAGACCCTTATCAACAGAAAAACTCTACCAGAAGAAGTGTTATAACTTATGTCTAGAAGTCCCCTAAAGCCTCATGCACTCATAGGTTGGAGTTTTAGGAAGTGGCTGTATCTAGAGTGTGTAATGTAGGGAATGATTCTTAAGTGAGATACTAGGATTAAGGGTGCCCCCCCACACTGGTGTGAGTTTTAAAAACTTTTTGGCAAAAGAAAGTCCCAGGACCAGATAGTTTCATTAGTGAATTCAATCAAACGTTTAAAGAAGAAATAACTGAGAAAAAAAGAGTAAACACTTTCCAACTCATCTTATGAAGCCAGCATAACTCTGAAACCAAAGCTAGATTTTTTTTTAAAAAAGTACAAAAAGAGAATTACAGACAGATATTCTTCTTGAAAATAAATGCAAAAATGTTTAACAAAATAGTAGTTAAATTTAAAAATACATAAAATGAATATATCACGACCAATAAAGGATTCATGCTGGGAATACAGAATGGTTTACTATTCAAAAATCAATTAAGTGACCTCATTGACTAAAAAGAAAAACTGCTTGACCGTATCACTCAATATTCTGTGTCATATCATTTGAGAAAATTCAACATCCACTAATGATGAAGACTTAGCAAGCATCCTCAACCTCACAAAATACATCTTCTTAAAAACCAGTTGTTATTCTTAATGGCAAAAAAACCACCCTGAATTCTAGGATTAGAAAAAAGGCAAAGATGTCTATTTTCATGACTGCTATTCACATCATACTGAAAATCAATCCTAGTACCATAAGGCAAGGAAAATAAATAAAAGACATATAAGTTAGAATGGAAGAAATAAAATGTCCTTATTCATAGTCAACATAATTGTCTAGTAAAAATCTCAAGGAATCTATAAAAAACAAACAACTCCTAGAGCTTATAGCAAGGTCACAGGATATAAAGTCAATGCATAAAAATAAATCATATGTTTATATATGGTATGATTTAAATCTAAAGTAATCCCCAGACATTTCATGTATTAAGAGGTGGTGCTTTTGGGAAGGTGATTAAATCATAAGGTACTATTAACCTGCAGAAGAAATTTCAAGATAGCCCAACATTCATGCCATGGCATGAGTACTGTTGGCTGTTCTCATTGTCGGAGATGCTGTGGTCCTTCCTGTCACTGAGGATGGATGCAGTTCTCTTTGGGGGAGCTCTGATCTTTACTTTGGGCATCACTTTCTGACTTTAGTACAGATCTTTCAGGCTGCTGACACAGATCCTGCATTGCACTGGTACAGACTTTCTAGCTTCCATCACTGACCTTTGGACCTTCCCAGTGCTGGTCCTTGACATGGACTTGCATGAGACATTGTCAAGGGCTCTAGGCCTCCTGTTGGACTCGTGGAGGGCATTGCCATGGGCTCTAGGTCTCTAACTGGGCTCATCCAGGGCATTGCCATGGCCCTCAGCTGATTCTTTGGGTCTACTGTGTGGACAGATCTCCTATATGCTTTTGCATTTGACTTGTTTCGGTGAATATTGTAAAATCTTATAAATTATGTGTCCTGTATTAAATTTTTTCCCTTGTAAACTATGACTACAACAATAAGTTTGAGAGTAAGCCTGGCAACTTAATGAGACCCTGTCTCATAATAAAAAATAAAAAGAGGTAGATGTGGTAGCTCAGTAGTAGAATTCTTGCCTAACATGTGAAGCCTTCAGCTCATTTTGCACTACTGAAGGGGAAAATCAAAACTAAAACAGCCTCAATCTAAATGTTATACTTTATATGACAAAGATCAAAATATAAAATAAAAAATTTTCAGGTAGAAACTGGAGAAAATCTTCATGATTTGGGGTAAAGCAAAAAGTATTTATAGATAACATCAACACATAATCCAAAAAGAGATTAATAAATTATACTATGCAAATTTTAAAAACTTGTCTGTAAATGACATTGCTAAGAGAAAAAGACTAATTGAAAACTGGAGAAAAGTTTACAAATTACATGTTTGACAATTTATGTTTAAAATACATTAGACTTTTAGGGAAATGGTGTAGTAATAAGTGACAACAAGTTAATCCGTGTGAGATTTGGAATCCAGATACTGAAAAAAAAAGAGAGAAGGAGATCCCTGGGAAGAGGAGTGGATCATACAGGAATATTAAAACCTACAGAGGAATTGGTACAACTTTGAAAAGGGAAACTATTTCTCATTAGTTTTTTCTCTTATCTTTATCTAATTCTGTAAATTATCCTCTAATTGCCAATAGGATCTTTTGTATCATTCTCTCTTCTTCTTTTCATGTCATATAGTTTAAGATTTGAGATTGTTTTTTCCTTTTCTGTTCCCATTCCCACCCTTCTATATCTTTAATAGTGAAACCATAAAGCTTTATTAATCTTTATATCTAATGCAATACAACTACTGCTTATACCTAATGCTATACTAGGGTTAAAATTTTTTAAAATTTTTTATTCAAATTAAAAGAAAGAAGGATATTAAGATAAAAGAGGACACAACAACATAATAACACAGGTCAGAACAGAACAATTTAAGCAACATAGTGTTTCACCTCAAGATAAGCTAACATAACAGTAGCTACCATAGTGTCTCTTTCCTTGAAATATTTGAGTATAACTTCATATATTATAACATCAAACACAACATGACAGTGTAAAACCATTCAAGGGAATGAAAGTATTACAGGATATTTAGAACCAACTAACAGAAACGAACAATGGTTTCTATATTATCTCCTTGTCTATAAAAAATTTTGTTTATACTATCACATATAATAAAATCCAATAAGATACAACATGATAAACTGATGGAGACAGAAGAACAAAAGCTTTATGGGACTTTAAAACAAGATGATATTAAATCAGCACTAGCTATTATATTGTCTTTTTTTTCTTCAAAATAACTATTCATACTATCATAGACAATAAAATCAAACAACCCAGAATAAAACCATTCCAATTAATGAATGAAAACACTATATGGCTTCAAAGCAATATAATGGGGAATCATGTTTACCGCATACTTTTATGTATTCGAACCATTTCTTACATTAGGGAAACTATTCGGTATTTATACATGTGAGTGTGATTTATTTCACTTATGAGTATGGTCTCAAGCTGTGCCCATTTATTTATAAATATCAATGTGATCATTCTTTATAGCTGAGTAGTACTCAATTGTATAAAAATACCACAACTTTTTTATCCATTCCTCAGTTGATGGACACTTAGGTTGTTTCCAAGATTTGGCTATAACAAATTTTGCTGCTATAAACATGAGTGCACATATATCACTGTGGTATGATGCTTTCAGTTCTTCTGGAATTATGCCTAGAAGTGGAATAGTTGGAACAAATGGGACTTCCAATCCCAGCTAAATTCTTTTCTACCATTAGTAGAGACATAGCTGTCACATTTATCAGACATTAGTTAAGTTGTCTTACTGTTTACATCATAATTGTGGATTTATTCATTGGGGTTAATGGTGGTACATAATTGGTTCTTATTGTATGTTACTAACCAGTTTATCTTGGATGATACTACTGTACCTGATTTGCTTGATATTACCAGGGTAGCAAAATTGTTGCTATTAATTATCTTTGTGACATTAACAATACCAAATACTTTGGCAGAGAACTTGGGGTTAGGCCAATAATACTGCATCCTCCCTCCCCAAATTAACAAAAGTGGTCAGATGTTGGAGTTGAGGCATGTCAAAGTACATATTGGTTAACAAAACAATTCAACAGGAAGAGCTAGCCATTTTAAACTTATATGCACCAAATACCAATGTGCCCAATATCATACAAGAAATATTAATGGACATGAAAAAAATCAGATAATCACCAATACAGTTGTAATGGGGGACTTCATTACTATCACAAACAGACAGATCAACTAGACAATAAATCAACAAAGAAATATCTGAGTTCAATCAAACTTTCAAACAAATGGATTTAATATGTTCATAACTCGTATGTTTGTTTCCAGGGAGCATCAGTACTATCAGTGGTTCATGCCAGCGGGAACATGTTAGCAGATGTCTACAGTGTTCCATCCACCAACACAGTAAACATTCTTATCACAGCGTGTGAGATTTTCTTCAAAACAGACCAGTATTAACCTATAAAGCACACTAAAGGAAATGCAAAATTAGCCCACACATATTTTCAGATCACAGTGCAATGAAACTAGAAATCAATGAATGACAACAGATCCTATGCAAACCCATGAAAAGTAAACAGTACACTTCTGAATAATCAGTGGATCACATATGAAATTAGGGAAGAAATTAGTCTGTTCAAACAGACTAAAAATCAAACAACAATGACAATATGACATACTGGCACCTATGAACACAATGAACTAGTCCTAAGAGGGAAGTTTATAGTGGTGAATTCTTACATCAGAAAAACAGAGCTAGCTCAGACAAATACCTAGTGACATGCCTCAATGTCCTAGCAAAAGAACAGTCCAAATCTAAACCTAATACAAGAAAAGAAATTATAAATATTAAAGCAGAAATAAATGATATTGAGACTTAAAAATTACAAAGTATCAATGAATTTATGAGTTAGTTCTTTGGAAGAATAAACAAAATAGACAAACACTTAACAAATCTTACCAAAATATGGAGAAAAAAGGACCCCAAATCTATGTAATTAGAAATGAAAGGTGAAATCACAATGGATTCTACCAAAATCCAGAAGATCATCAGTAACTACTATGGGAAACTGTATTCTAATTAAATGGAAATTCAGAAGAAATAGATATATTCCTGGATACATATGAATTAAGCTGCACTAAGAAGATACAGAAATATCTCCTGACTAGTCCAATATCACCTAATCATATTGAAGAAGTAACTTTAAAAAGGCTACCAAGAAAAACCCAAATCCTGACTGATTCATGCTGCAGTCTATAAGACCTTTACAGATCTAGTACAAATATCCCTCAAACTTTTTAAAATTTATTTTTAAAAGGGTAAGATTAAACAGAACAAAACAGATTATAAGGAAGCAATTTTAAGAAACATGAATTTCAAAGCAAGTCCACTGGAGATCTTCACTGTCTTTCTCTAGTTTTCTTCCAAATAGTTGTCCCCATCTTCACACACGGTGAATACATATTGAACATCATAGAACTAATCAAGTCATTACAGGATGATGAAGGCTTTTTAGGTCTTCAAGGCCTGACATTGGGGAAGTCAATAATGACTACCATAATGTCTCTCATTCTCTTCATAGTAGCTGTCCTTATCTTTATGTATGCTGAAATTGAACATAAGAGACTAGACTAATATCACTCTGAACAGTGAATAATAGTGAACAGTGAATATGTATCATACTGCTACAGAGTTAGCACTGGGTTTCTTAGTGTCTCTTCTTCAGAGTATCTGTTCATTACATCATGCATTATATAATCTGTTCCCGTAAACAGTTTAGAAATTCTCCCCATGTGTGAATCTCTACATGTATATCTATCCTTTCTGTATCATAGGAAAAACAGATCATAACAAGATAACAAAACAGATTCCTAGAAAAACTATGAAATGAAAAAGACATATAAAACCATAATATTAGGTGGTCTACCATAGTTACTATGCTTTTTCTTGTTATTTTCAATAGAATTGTCCACGTCATCAGGCATAATATAATTGAACATAACATTACATAGCTATTTTAATAAAAACACAACTTTGGAGACATTGTAGGACTTGAAAAGCAGTCAATAATCAAACTGGAATGGGTATCTTATTACATCTTGTCATCTTCAGAGTAGTTGCCTCTACTCTTAGACTTGATACTATCAAGCATACCAAATTTGAATAAAATCGGCAAGGCATAACAGCAGTCTAACAAACCAACTTTAATAAGATCAGTCATAGTAAGACAATGTAAGTAATACAGGGTTTCAGTTTAAGTTAATAGGAAATTAAGGATAGTTACCATAGTATAGCTTGCTATTTTTGGGATGGCTGTCTGAGCCCTCAAATCTAGTATGAGTAGACAGACCAGAACAAAATAAACAGAGCGAGACTAATGTGGCTTTTAAATCCTGATACACTATTAACAATGTTCTCTGCCTTCCTTTTTTAGGCAGTTCCTCACCTTTCCCCTTCTCCGGATGCTTTGTATATTTTGGGTTCCACTAGCTCCTTTAGTTTTTACATTAGGTGGTCAACCCATTATCTATCTGATGTTGCTGAACCTTTTTACCCCTGAGCTTGATCTTGAGCTGTACTCCTTTATTTACTAAAGCCACTAGGTTTTCCTTCCTTCCAGCTGTGTAATGCTACACTGCACAGCGGTGTCATAACTTTCCAACCTATCTGTGGCTGCTGGATGAGCTGTCCCTATTTCTCTCTGGTTCCCTGTCACACAGAACATCATTTTCTCATCTTTGACTTTCAGTTTATTAACTGTCTTTCAGGTTGAGTATATTTCCTATTCAGAGCATCTCGATGGATCCTGCCTCCTAATCTACTCTGCCTGTGTTTGTTAGTGTATCAAGACTATCTCTATTAAAGATTATAGCCTACCTTCTCTGTCTCATCTCTGCTATTCTATTTTTCTGCTATTATTTGTACACTTTTCTCCTCCATTCCACTGTCTGCCCCATTCATTGAGGCCTCTCTGCCACTGTTGCTGGAATCCTGGTATTTTTTTTCTCTCTCTCTAGAATGTCCTTCAGTATTTTTTGTAGGGTTGGATTGGTGGCCATGAACTCCCACAGTTCCTCCTTATCTTGGAAACATCTTATTTCACCATTAATTTTGAGGGAGAGTTTTTCAGGGTACATCAATCTGGGCTGGAGTTATTTTCTTTCAAGGCTTGGAGTGTTTCCCCCCAGACTCTTCTCGATTTGAGAGTTTGTGTTGATAAGTCTCATTATTTTGATGATTTTTCCTTTGTAGGTGGTCAACTTCTTTTCTCTGGCCACTTTTAATATTCTGTTTTTGTGGTGGATTTCTGGGATCTTTATTATATGTCTTGGTGTAGATCTGTTTTGGTTGTAGTTGGTTGGAGTTTTGTATGCCTCATTTATCTGGATATCATTTTTTTTCCTATGCTTGGGAAGTTTTCCTTAATTATATCTGTGAATAGCCTTTGTAATTCATTTGTGGTTACTCCTGCTTCTTCACTCACATTTTTTATTCTTAAGTTATAGATCCACTTGTCATCTTCTAGCCTTTGAATTGTTTCTTCCTGGTTCCTTGTTATTTTTAAGAGATCTTTTCTTTCATGATCACCATTATAAATCTCTCTTCAAGTTTCAAAAGACTAACTTTAGTTTCTGTCAGGGCATTTTGCTAGCTTTTAATGGAGTTTTTAGTTTCCTGGTAGTCTTTTTGGATCTGTTTCATGTATTCTAGATTTTGTTTATCTTCTTCACCAAAGGTTTCTCTTCCTTTTCTGGGTTCCTCCATTTTTCCATCTGTATTTTCTTGTGAGGGGCTTAGCATTTCTTTAATTAATCTTTTCATATCTTGCCTCACTTGGATTAGAATTTCAGTTTTAAGTGTATCTATGAGGTCATGAAGGTATTTCTTTATGTCTGCTGATGTTGTGGCTAATATTGCATGATTACTGCACTGATTCTCTTCTGTATTTACCTCTCCTGGGCTTATTTTCCCAGGGTCAGTGCCTGGAGATTTTTTCTTATTTCTATCTCTTGTCATGTTTTTGGTTTCTTTCAGACAGATGGGTAGTGGAGGTCTCTGGCCCTCTCTGTATTGTTTAGGTGTTTCCTAAGTGTGCTGACTGAGGTTTTGCTGCCCTCTCCAATTTGCTATTATCTGAGGTGCACGCAGGGTGCATGTGGGCTGGCCCCTCACCTCTGAGCCAGTCAACTGGGAAGTACCTTCAGCATCTTAGGCTGTGCTGTGGCAGACGTCACAGGGTTGGGACAGTTTTGTCCCTAGCTACTGGGTCCCAACCAGGGGCGTGCCTCAGCCCAAGCAGGTCCCACCAGTCCTCTGGGCCAGGGGTGGCTGACTGACACCACCATGGCACCAGGCTCTGCCCCACTCCAAGATGTCTTACAGCCAGCAACACCTGCAGCGGGACCCAATTTCCAGCACTCGCCACAAACTATTACAGTTCTCCACCTTGGCTTCACTCCACATTGTGTCGCATCCTCCTGCCAAGGGCCCGGGACTCACCAATTCCCCTTATCAGCGGCCATGGCTTTAGCGGGACCTTGAATCGCCCAATTCCTCGGGGCTCCCAGCACAGTGTGGACCGGTCTCCTCCTCAAACCCTTTAATGAAATCGAAAGGGAAGCAGTACTCCCAAAATCATTCCTGGAAGCAAGCATTATCCTGATTCCAAAATCAGAAAGTGACCCAACTGAAAGAGAGAATCACAGTCAAGTCTCTTTATTGAATATAGATACAGAAGTCCTCAATAGATACTGGCAAACAGAATGCAACAAATGATCAAAAAGATCATACATCATGACCAAGTAGAATTCATCCCAGGGATTCAGAGATGGTTTACCATACATAAATCAATAAATGTAGTATACCACATAAACAGAAACTAGAACAAAAAATCATATACTCATCTCAAAAGACACAGGAAAAGCATTGAGCAAAATGCAACATTCAATCCTGATTTTTTAAAAACTGAAGAAAATAGATACAGAAAGAAGGTCTTTTATCTCAGGCTGATTTTAAAAAGCCATCTATGACAAACTAAAAACTTATATTAAATGGAAAGAAACCAAAAGTTTTCCTCTAAAAATAGAAAATGATACAAAGATGTCCATTATCATCACTCTTGTTCAATGTAATTCTCAAAGCATTAGCCAGAGCAATTATACAAGAGAAAGAAACAAAAGGGATATAGATAGGAAGGGAATAAATTAAATTATTATTTTCAAATGACATGCTCCTGTACATGGAAGACCTTGAAAACTTCACCAAAAGACTCCTAGAATAATCAAATTTAGTAATGTAATAGGACACAAAGTCACCACTCAAAAAGCAATATAGTTTCTGTACATCAATAATAAATTCACCAAGAGAGAAATTGGGGAAACAATACCTTTCACAACAACATCAAGAAAAATGAAATACTTAAAAATTAACCATGGAACTGAAAGACTGCTACAGTGAAAACTACAGTGTTGAAGCTGTTGAAGCTGAATACATGTGCAGAGCTGTGGCACAGCCGGGAATGGCTGAACTGAGAGGGAGGAGATATCTCAGGGGGCAAGATAGGCCATTGCTGAGGCTGCCTAGAGACTTTCTGGACCGTTTTCCTTAATTAGCATCATCTGTTGCTCTGAAGGGTCCCTGAACCCCTCCCAAGATCTTGCTCAGGTTTCCTGGGTTTTCCACATAACTTTTTGCTTGTTCTGATTAAATATAGGCTGCCCAGGGTCAGTCAAAGTTATGAGATCTGCAGAGGATTTTAGTCCTCCTGGAGCTCTAAAAATCATGCCGCTTGTCTCATTCCTTTGAGCTTTTGCTGTGCATCCATTTGGGAGATTGGGGATTTAGGCACAGACTCCAACATTACAGTACTGAAAAAAGATTTGACTGTGGACTGAAAAGTGTACCTAATGTGAGCTAAAATAAACCTTCCCTTCTTCAACTTGTGGGTGTTGGGTATTTTATCTTAGCAACGTGTAAAGTAAAACACACAAAATGGAATACTACTCTGCCATAGAAAGGATAAATGTGAATCATTTGTAGAAAAATGGGCAAACCTTGAGCTCATAATGTTATGTAAAGTAAATGACACACATTAAACTTAAATATCACAGTTCTTCTAATATGGAAAACTTAATATATAAATAGAGTGCAAAATAAAAGACAGAATTTTTGAAAAAGAAAAAATTAATGTAATCCAGCATTGCTAATATGTCTAAAAGCGTACATTGATTTAATATAATTGTTTTATGTGTTTCATATATTTTTTGCTTCTTAATCTGGTTATTAATCTGTGTTTATAACAATGAATTTGATAAAGACTTATAAAATAAATCTGATATTGGTTAAAAAAAAACCCTTTAACAGAACTGGGGATTTAGCTCAGTGGCATAAGTGCCTGCCTGGCAAGCATGAGGTTGTGAGTTTGATCCCCAGTACCAAAACAACAACAACAACAACAAAAACCTTTTTAAACAAGTCGTTAAAGATATTCTTAAAATTCTCAAAAATAAAACATAAGAATCCCAATTTAATAAGTGGACCTCAGTTCATGAATACTTTTGTGAACAATTGGTTCACAGACAAAAGCATGTGGCAAAATTTTGTGTGAACTCTGCATCAGGTGATAAACATGACCACAACCATCTTTCCTCTGCAAACATGAACATGGCGAATTTTTCCACAATCATGGAGCAAATTAAGTTTGTGAGCCGTTACCATTGTAATTGGTAAAAAATCTTGAACATACATTCTTCTAAAGAGGATACAGACAGAAAGGAACTGTATTCAACATTAGTCCCATTAAGCAAATATAAATTAAAGCCACAGTGAGACACTACCATCTATTTTTTAAATGACTAAAAGTTTCTGGCAATGTCAAATGCCAGAGAAAAATTAGATTGATTTCTTTTCAGATATTCCTGGATCAAATACAATGATAGGGAAACTCTGGAAAATAGTTTGGTAGTTGCTTATAAAGTAAAACATTTAATATGTGACCCAGAATTCCTACTTATGCATATTTACCTTAGGGAAATTAAAACTTAGGTTCATATAAAAACCTGTACACATTTGTTTATAGCAACTCTATCCATAATTACTCTATACATAGTTAATAAAAACTGAAAACAACTCAGATTTTGTCTTTCATTTCATAAATAACTAAATTGGAATATGATTATACAATGGGATAGTATTCAGCAACACAAAAGAACAAATTAAATGATACGTGCAACAATTTGGACTAATCCAAGAGCATTATGTTGGATGAAAACAGATAATCACAAAAAGTTTTGTATTTTTGGATCTTGAATGGTCCCTATAGGCCTATGTGTTATAGTCTTGGTTCCTTGTTTGGCATTATTGGAAGGTGGTAAAACCTTTAAGACTTAGGGCCTTAGTGGGACATCTTTATTGCAGGATCCTGTTCTCATTCTCTTTTTATCTTTCCATTCCTTGCCATGAGGTAAGCTATTTTGTTCCACCGCATACTGGTACCACAATATGCATCCTCAGGCCCAGTGCATCACGACAATGAATGATGGACTGAAACATTCAAAATTACCTGTCAAAACAAAAGTCCTTTCTTCATAAGTTGGTTATCTCAGGTAGTCATTATAGTAATGGAAAAGCTGATTAGCAGTAGTATACTATCCATTTCTCTGACGTTCTTTCAAAGGCCTAACTATAGGAACAACATCATTATATTATGACTGCAGCGATCATATAAGGAGGTACCTCTATAAAGGGATAGCAGGAGCATATTTTGGGGGTTGAGTGTTGGACATACTCCGTATCTTGATTGCAGTAGTGATTATACACAAATGTGCATTAAAATTATTCACAAAATAAGTCAATTGTACTCTAATATTTTTTGTTTGAACTCTACTTTTAACACCACTAAATATCAATCTTACATTTTTGGAGGGGTTTATGTTTGTTCATTTTGAGACAGGCTCTAGCTATGTATTTTAGGCTGGGCTTGAACTCACTATGTAGCCCAGGCTGATCTCAAACTTGAGATCCTCTTGCTTTAGCCTTCTGAGTGCTGGGATTACAGACATGCACCATCACACCTGGCTTTAAGTTTACTTTTATGAGGCCACTGAATTGGAACCCACTGAAGGTAAAGAGAGATAATTAAACCTGGAGAGTTTTCTTTTACAATTTAAAAGAAACCTAGGTTATATTAAGCAGTATAAAAATGTAAGTAATATTGGGAGGAAGATCTGCTTATTAATGAAGCTAAATCAACTGGGTAGGCTATGAATTGATTTTTCTGCATAATTACACACAATTACACTCATCTATAAGTAAGCAAGACTTTTGAAGTGCATAATGATTCCACTGCAATAAAATACATTGTTTGGAACTCCCCATTAACACTTACATACTTCCAAAGTTCTTTTTAGTTATTTATCACTGTTTCAATATGAATTTCAACCTGCATTTCCTAAAACAACATTCATAATCCCCAAGGGAATCCCTTATATACCAAAAGAATTCAACACTTTTCTTTTAAAAATATCACCACTGATGTGTAGCTAAGTATTTTTTAAAATACTTAAAAATACTGAAATATTTATAGGAATATTATAGAAATAATAATGATGTAACCTTTATCTTGTATATCAATGTTTCCAATTTGGTTTCATTTGTGGTTTGTAAAGTTATTAACTGTGATTAATTAAAAACTTTGAGACTAGTTGAATAACTATGGTGCATTTGTCTATGGGATTACTATGTAGCCATAATAAAGAATGATGACACTTTCAATGTTCTTACATGGCATGATCTCTTATAAATATTAGGTGTGAAATCTTAACCTTTAAATAGTATGTATAATATACTATTATTTATGTAAAAGGAGAAAAAGTTTATATACATTCCTACACATACACATATATAGATATATTAGTTTATCTATCTACCTTTCTATATATGTATACTAATAAAACAAATATACTTCTGGAAGAATACAAAAAACTAGAGAATTAGGTTGAGTTGAGCTATGTCACTGTAACTATATATTTTACATATTGAGCCCTGTGACTGAACTGATTCCCTACTACAAAAACAAAATTAAAACTATTTTGCTTTCCTTTTAAATAAGACATATCTACATTTTTAAAAAGTTACTTACTTGGGAAAAGAATCGATAATTCAATTTTTTCCTTGGGATCCAATATTCTTACTATTTATAACAGCCCAAATAATAAATTTCTCATATACATTTTAATTTTTTTCTTCACAAAAAGAATACCTGAAGTGCGTAGAAACTTTCAAACACGCTTAATACCTTGCTACTCAAAATGTGGCTAAGAAGGCTGTAATGCATCTCAGTGGCAAAGCCCTTGCCTAGCATGCATGCTACTATGGATTTGATTCCTGGTAAAAAATTTAAAAATTAAAAATAAAAATGAGAAAAAGAGTTCTTAAACCAGGCATTGTGGCACATGCTTATAATTTCAGCACTCAGGAGATTGAGGCAAGAAAATTGTGAGTTTGAGACCTGCCTGGGTTACAAAGTGAGCTCAAGGCCAACCTGAACTGCATAGCAAGACCCTATCTCAAAAATACCAAAAAACCCCCAAACAAACAACAAATGTTGCCCCAGGACCAGTAGTACCTGACTAGAAATGCAGAATCCTTGTGTTCATCTGAGACCTACCAAATCACAATCTTCACTTTAACAAGATTCCCCCCATCCCAGATATTTATATGCGCTTGAAAGTGTGAAAAGTACTGCTCCAAATAGGCAAGATGTAGTTGAATAGAGTCAGTGCCAAAGTGCACAGCTATTAGGTAAACACTCTGTAAAGTTTGTTGAAGAACCAGAAGGAATCATAGAAAGAATCTAGGAACTAAGTTTAAAAGAGAAATCCTAGTTCCTGGGTGTAAACAGAAATATAATGCATTTTCTATTTAATTTGTAAAAATCCCAATAATTGAACAAAGCCGTCACAGGAATCCTGAAAAAAGAGGTGCATCTAATAGCTGTCCTCCCCCCACTCTCCCCTGTACTGAGGGAGTGAAACAGAGCTTTTATACTGAGATAGATTTCTAGCCCACTTCCTTTTAAAAAGACAGGATCTTGCTAAATCGCTAATTGCCCAGGCTAGGATTAAATTTGAGATCTTCCTGTCTTAGCCTCTCAGAATGCTGGGATTATAGTCTTGTGTCAGAACGCCTGACCCATTAGATGTTTCCAAACCAAATTATCCTTTCTTCATCCTTTCACTATTTATTCAACAATAAGAACACTGCTTCTGAAGGGGAAGTAAAATCTGGGTTGAACGGTCTTCAGTGGTTTCCATGATACACAAAATAAGAGGTGGAGCCTGAACACATACTTGGGAGACTCTACCCAACCCAACTTCCTTGAGGTCCCTTAATTGCTATTACTCTTACCAGGATTTGCTTAATGGTAGCCACACTAACCTCTTTGTTATCCTTGAACTTGTTAGGCATGCTCTGCTTTTAGATCTCTGTGCTTGTTCTTTTTCACAAGGATCCTGATGCAGAAAGCCCATGGCTTATTTCCATCATGTCTTTGCTCAGGCATCATCTGATATGGAGGCTTTGACAACACTGCATCAAATAACCAGTACCTATTCTGTCTTCTCTACCCTGCGTTGCTTTTCCTTACTTACTACCATTTCTCATGCTTATTATTTTGCTTTTGGTGGGGCAGAGAGGCTTTGTTTCCCCTCCCTCCTTGACTATGCTCCTCGAAAGCTGGACTTCATTTTGGTTATTGTCATGCCTCTAATACCCAATAGAGAAACAGTGAAGAAATGGACAAATGAACAAATAGTCTTAATTTTTGCAGGCTGGTGTAACAAAATACCATAATTTGGATAGCTTTAGCCTCGCGGCTGGGGCCAGATTCTCTCCAGTTTGAAGGCTTCCTCCAATTTGTGTTCTGGAAGGTCTTTTTTT